CATTCATTCTACACCTCTAAAAATACTTGGCAGCAGGGTATTGGCGCAAAACTGTCCACACCGAGGGAAACGCTACATACCCTGAAAACTCAATGGATTATATCATCTTTATTTTAATTCGACTAAACAAAACATTGATTGTAGATCTAAATAATCAACCATATATGCTTTATTGTACCTTATGAAATTTGAATAAAATTAGTTTATAGATCATATTTTTTATTACTTCATGTCGATTAAATAAATATTGATTGTATATTGATTAACATATATGCCATAACGGATTTTTACCACTTGTAATTAACAAATATTGTAACTGATTGTCTATTAATAAAGATTGACTATATAAACGGAACTCATTACCCCTAGTACTACAACTAGTAATTAACGAATACTGCAACTGATTATCGATTTATCATCTCTCAATCAAAAACTCTACGGCAAGCCGAGCGTCTTGGCAATCAAACAAACAGCCGAGACCCAGCTTACACAAATCAATCACGCCCAGGGTGTCAAACAGATGGTATAAATTAACTCACGAAAAAATGCAAATCATTCATCGTCATGGCCAGTAAATTGAACGTCGCACTAACAGGATCTTCGTATATGACGCATCTCCAGAGGTACGCCAGGAAAACCAACCAACCAATCCACCATCACCACAACATTCAGAACTACGGAGTAGGTGGGGCCACAGTTGCCAAATGCAGAAGTAGGGTAAGCCAAATAACCAGAGCCACAGATATAGCACTTGTCTATATCGGGGGCAACGACATTCGACCCCGCACTGACCCTGAAACACTCGCTGACCACATCATCGAGGTCATGCTTGCCATCCAGGGTAGAGTGGGGATGATACCTGTCATCTGGATAAATTCATACCCAAGGCTATTACCCAGATACTTCGCTGATCCCCTCAAGTATATTCGTATACAAGAGAGGTTAAATCAGCACATGCTCAGGAAACTGGCCGAACACCCCATGCTGCACTACGGGGGCACCTACTCCTACAAGACGAACAAATGGAAAAAGGCTACGGAAAAGATGCTCCAGACAGACGGAATCCACCTAAACGACACGGAACACCAAAATCTAATGGACATGATACGAATATTAATATATGAAACAGCCCAATATTACTATGGGATAGAAAAACCACCACAGTACATAGGAAAGTCATGGAAGATCGACAACTGCCTCAGTCTCTTCCATGACTCAATAAGTATCTTTTAAAACTCTTTTACTACTATTGTATTAAAAACCTAAATACCCCTAACATCATTCAATATTATTACCTTCCAGATTCATCTTACTCTACAGTAAATTACTACTATTATTATTCTTATCTAATTACTCTTATTTTCATTTTTGTTTTACTCTTATTATCTTCTTTACTATTATTATTATTTTTAGCCCCCTCCCCCCCACCACCCAGAAGCCTAACCAGACGAAACCGTCACACATATCACTGTAAGACCAGATACTATCTTTTTCCTTCTCTCTTTTCAGGAGCTGGATTCTTCCTTCTGAGAACCAACAACAAAGGAATGAACCATAGAAACAAAATACAAACAATACCACCATACCGGACAACATATCCAAATGGAAGGAAGAATGGACCAGGCCCTAAAACTCACCAACAAGCCCCAAGGAAGAGTTGCACCGCCCTGCCATTCGACCGGACAGAACGACCTGACCAACCAAGATAACAAAATAGATATATATATATGTTCGTCCACCTTCATGTATACAAATGTCTCTGTCTGTGTAAATGTTCGTCCATGTCCATGTCTGTCCTACCATATGTCTGTAACCGTCCCAGTTTGCACTTGTTACACCTGTTAAATCACGTCTCGTCTCTGTATATTTGTTGCACATATATATCTATTAAAAAAAAAAAAAAAAAAACCTAATTAATCCACACTAATCCACTAATCACGTTGTAAATACTATCACCATGCACATATAACACGTAATTGTCTGCGATATCACCTCGGTGGAAGCGGACGTTAAATAAAACTAACTCACACACACAATTAATCCCCTTAGTTGGCGAAGCTGGTTAATCGACAACTTGACCTGTATGTAGGACAAAATATTTACAGATATGATTCGTGGCTTCTCTCATTTTTTCGCCATCATTTTTTGACGTTATCTCAGGTATATTTTTTTTATTGAACATATATAATATACGGTTGAGATATACAATGTACGTATATAGCGGCATTTTTTTTATACAGTCATGGATTAACGACTTCAGATATATTCGCCATTTTGTTACCTTATTAATAGATAACTTGACGTATATGTACGTAAAAATATGCACACTTTGTCTTCTTTTTAATAAGGTCGAAACAATATACAAATGAAAATGTTTATTATTCGGTACTAATAGATAGAATTACAAAAAATCACTTCAACTGGTTCAAGGGAGGTAACTCCATACAACGGGAATCAGACCGCTAACACTTGCGTTTTCGCTGTTTTGCGTGTAAACTTGGAATATTTTCCACTTTATTAATATATTTTTGGGAAGGCGACAGGCGTATCTTTAAAAACTCATCTCCATTAATTATATTTGTGTGAAAAAAGTCAACTCCAAGGTTAAATTAGGCAATTTATCTTGTCCGCGCACATCAGGTTGAGTAAAAAATCAAATTTGCGCGCATCAACGACCGACTTGGGGCACGCAACCACCCTCCACCTACGGGGGGTGGACCAAAGCCCCACCCCACCCATACCCAATCCAAATTTTCCGACCTTCAGTAAAAAAAAAAATCAAATTTTAGGACATGTCCAGAAAGGGGCGTGGCAATTTTTTTTTTTCTGGGGCTGACCCCCTGAATGGATACCAGACCACCCGAGGGCAGGGCCTTACCCACTCATACTCGTACCCGCCACCCTACGGCACACCAAAGCGCGAAAAACGGAAATTGGGCAAAATCTGTAAGGCACAATTGTGAGCAAAGACCTATTGACGGCCATTGAAAGGCCTGGGGCGCCGGATAAAGGCCTCTCCACAATTCTGAGCCTCTTCCAGTCAAGTCAAAAGAGGAAGCACAGAATTGTGCCGGCCATAAAGGGCGGGTCACCCCTCAGAAGACCCAGGGGGGTCAAAACATCGTTTTTAGAGGTGCACGGGTACGGGAAGGTCTTAGGAGCAACAGATTTCGACCAAGGGGCACTTGGGGCATCCTGGGGGCGAGGGGACGCGAGCACAAAATGCGAGCACAAAATTGGACCTTTTTGATCACTTCTTTTGAAAACTGAAATACCCTGTTGAGCCTTCTATAGTTTTCTGTAGAATTTATATGTATACTTGAACCATTTTAACAAATACTGTAGTTTCCTACATAACGTAGTAAAAATGTTCTGTACAACAAATGTCATAATTAGTTTTACATCCACTTCCACCAGGGGTGATATCGCAGACAAGACGTCATAATTTGGCGATGTTTTCTTTTTATTCTGTAGTTTACTATAGAATTTAGTGATACACTTGTGTGAATGGTAAACGGCTGATTCGGACCTGACGGATTCAGACAAGATTTTTAGCTGATTCGGACCATGACAATGCTCGTTTGGGCCATTATTTGAATTACGATAGTATTTAAAAATATATTTAATATGACAATAAATAGTGTAATTAGTGATTGATTACTTCAATACCAATTTGCTAAATAGCGGAAGGTGCTTCGGACCAGATTCTTGGATGGTTCCGACCATGATATTTTAATGACGAGAATATTAAAAATATGTTTACATATACATGTATTATGACAAAAATGACAATAAATACTAAACAGCATTATCAAATGATAATCCAATATCAAATACCTGCATACCAGTATAATTACTGCAACAAATAACCTGGTATCATCAAGAGAGAGAGAGAAGTGGGGTTTAACGTCCACTCGACACAAACTAGGTCATTTCGGGACTAACATATGGTTTAATTTTATTTACATAATTCGCTTGCGCGTAGGGGTCTTTAGCAGTGGGAGTAAACCGGAGAACCCGGAGAAAACCCACGAGGTTGGACAGGCGACCCCACTCCTTGCCACGTACAACCGGGGATTCGAAACCACGCCAGTCGACTCAATGACAGACTTTATGATACAGAGCGCGCACGCAGTTTAAGTTTCCAACATAATTTTCCTTGGTGCAGTTTCCCTAATTTATACTGTGATACCAAATGACAAACTAAACTATATTTACGAAGAAAAAAAAAATATTTTTTTTTAATATAGTGTATATAAAATGAATGAAATAGTGATACATGTTGACTCTGAGAAATTCTGCATCCAACCCTCAAATGCCAGTAAATGTAGATCTTCACAGCAAAAATAACATAATACTTAAGATAAGTCAATGAAATAAAGGCTGTTTATTTGAACACAGTCTAACTGTTGGGTGATCCTGCTAGTTAGATTTTAATAAATATAGCAGATTCTGTACTCAAATTATAAAATTTGTTGAAGCCAGCAGGTCAACCGTGCATACCTGTCGACAAATTTTAATTAACGGCTAATTTAATCTCTTGAAATCTGTTTGGTCATTGGCTGAATTTTAAATTCTAAAATTCTGTGTATAACTAGAAACCGCAGAGAATGGTGCTGGTTTTTTTTCACAGATTCGATCAATTAAAGACAGAAAGATAAATTGGCCTACAATAATATTAAATTAGAGTAGCCTAAGATTTATGTGACTTTTCCTCTCTTTCATGTTTACAAACGTCGAGGAGCAATTGGCGCAAAGTTGATAATCTGCACATAGTTTATAATTGATACGCGCAGATGGCAATCTCCACTCGCAGGGTGTAATTAGCTCAACTCTGTGGCGCAAGGGATGAAGAATGCGCCCAGCATATACATACAGTCTGTCAGACTTGCTGGCATAGTTAAAATAGCCTACAAAGCGTAGTTTACATCTTGTATCGGGATTCAGACCACTACTACAATACTGGGAATTCCTTCTGGTCACGTGACTTGATTGGGGTCACGTGATATGTTTGTGTGCAAATGGCGTCGAAGAAAGAAAGTAGAAAAGGAAAGGCTAGAAGGGCAAAGGAACGTTTCAAAGCGTTATCACAGGCTGGTCTAACCGCGAAGCATACAAAGAGAAATGTTACCAATCCCGATGAAGAGCTTGAATTGATTGCGCAACAGGTAAGACTTCAATATTTTGGTATCCAGACCACTCGGACCAAAACAGAGACCAATCGGACTAACCCAAAAAGTCTACTCGGACCAATTAAACTATATTGTAAGACCACTCAGACCAATATTTATCTTTGCTACTCTCACCAATAAATAATAAATTACGGACAATAAATATGCTGTTATTTATTTATTATTGAATCATGATAATCACAATACAAGAGTTCAATAATTTATTAGTAGTAGATCAAGTGGTTTCAGGTCAAAATTTTTAATGACAGAAAAAGTTTTTAAAAAAAAATATTGTGAAAATATAAGCTACATAAAATGCTACCCAAAATATTTCATCAAAATATTCTAATTAGAACCAAAGTTATGGAATTTTAAAATCTTGATCAACGTCAATAATGTTGTAACAGGATGGGTCAAGTTCCCGATTACACTTGAAGGTTCTTATGCAGGTTCTTTTACAGGAATCCTAGCGTATTCATTACCAGGCTAATTCATAACCGGTAAAATCGGCTTTTAATATATTCAATTGCATAAAGTAAATACACTAAATATAAAATAATTACATACCCTAAAGATGTAGGAGTAACCCTCCCTGTTCAGCAACTTCACGTTTCCCCTCGCGGTACCACCTTCGAGAATGATGTAACAGGGGCCCTCAGCTGCGGGTACATCAAAGACGGGAGCATCGTCGTCGATCGAATCTTCCAGTATTGGGTTGGGTAAAACATAGGATCTTTCCAGAGGGACAGCCTCAGAACTGGTCTCCATAAGAGACAATTCTTCTTGTTCACGTCCAACACTAGTATCCATAGGTACTTCTTCGTCGAAAGTAGCGGTAATTTCATGAACAGCAACAGGAATAGCCTAAATAATAACGTAAAATACGGTATGGTAAGAATATTGAAGTTGACTAAATTAAAACATCAAATACGGTGGTAAGAATATTAAATACGGTAACAATATGATTTTTTAAAAGTTACTTACGGCATTTATACAAGGAGTACATGTCCATTTAATCTCTTCTAACCCTTTCACCGCTCTTCTAACCCTTTCACCGCTCTTGTTATCTAAAGAGAACAAAATTATTTAAAATTTAGTGAATGGTTTAAATATTTTATGAATATAAGTTCGAGTAAGTATAGCTAGCAAAACTCGTGTAATTATTTCAATACTTATGATTTATTTCAATACTAATGAAAGCAAGCAAAATCTGTGAAATTATAAATACATACCTGTACATTTTCTATGCTGCCATAGATTACACTCTTCACACTGAAGACCTTCTTGTCTTATTCTGTATCAGTGGAACCTAATTTATTATGTAATAAGTTAATTACAATTGATTATTTATCGGTGGAACTAAAACTTAAGAATTAAAGGGGAACTATAATTTTATTTATTGTAAAAAGTGATATGGTTAAGAATGTGGTATGATTATGCATGGGGACATATACATGTTATAAATGGTTAGTTTAAAGTTTATAGTCCTGCGGGACTTGCGAGACACCAAAGACAAAGTCTTCCCTTGGAATGCTTAGTTATTCCTGCGAGGTTCGCACCTCCGACCGTTCGACTAAGACTGACTTTGACTGTCCTTATATACCTGCTTATATGCTATGCAACTGGAAAATGCACGTTCATAACCTATGCACTCGGAGTGAGTTACCATTTAGATCCCGCTCTCCCATTGGTCGATTTTATCAGACAACGACCAATAGAAAGTCGACGGCATATTCACAAAATGGCGGCTATATGCAATTTCCACATATAAACAAGCCCGATTACGATTTCGACGAATATGAAGCAATATGAATTCATATTAATAGATAACTATGTGTGGAACATATAATAAACAGTAAGTTCTAGCTATTGTAATGATCTATAAAATAGGAACCCCCCACAGTGCAAACAAAATACTCATTCGGCAAACCTCTACAGATTCTACGCATCTAATCTCGGATGTATGACGAATTCCGCCATATTGGAACTATTTTAAAGGTCCCGGGTGAAAAATGGCTGCGCCCATGGAGATTTCTGTGGAGAGTGTATTATATCAACAAACGTCAAGTTTGGCATTGGGTTTGGGGAATTACCAGGGAATTATATCAAACCAGCAGCCTTGAGACAATATCTCTGCTCGTTTAGTTATATACACTCGACAAAAGACGCCATATTGGGACTTTTTTGTAAAAGCGGCACGTTTTCCTGTTAAAGTAAACCGGTAGCCGCATCGCAAATGTATGGGCGTAGGTACAAATCAATTACTATCATACAGCCGAGGTTAGATGTAGGGTACCGGAATCTGCCGAGGTTTGCCGAGTGACAAAATACTCTATACCAGTCAATACGTGGCATGGCACCAAAATAAGTGCATTATTGTCATATCTGAGTGACGTCATAAGCAGTATTTTCCTTTCAGAATCGCTAGTACCAATTTTAAAACTGATATCCGCACGATATAGTCAGCTAAGATTTATTAAAATCGTAATAATTTGAATGATAACACTGTAACATTGGTACCGTTTAATCTTGCGTAAATAGCGCTAATTTCTACGCGGTGTACAATTATTCATAAATATTGTTGAATTTCGGCTAATTGTGCTCAATTTGTACATCTATCAAATTTCACTTTCACCGTCTAATTAACTAGTGTTTAGTTTCTCAACACGTGTTGAATTAAAAGCGTCCCGTCTAATTAGCAAGACTTCAATAATTAGTTGGACCGTTCAATCTCCCGAGCCATGATTAAAAATTAGTCAAGGTGTCCAATTACGCAAGGTGTTCAATTTTGTTGCCAATCATCCAATTTCACATGCGTTGTTCAGATTTTAACGATGTTTAGTTGTGCTTCGTCGTTTAGTTTTTCCTGCAAATGTCTATTTTACTGTACAGTGTACAAGATCTGATAGTATGTTCATTAATGCAGCGGGGTTTAGTTTTTCGGGTTTAATGTTTAAATTCTATTTCATAGATTTGGGGGCCCTTAAAAGGGCCGTTTTTTTAAAGAGCGTCTACACTCTACACCATGTATTCTATTGGCTTGCCATACTTCTTATCTGGGCTTTCATTTGGGCGTATTCAAAATAGACATTACGAAGGCCTACCATTATTCTTATTCTTATATCAATGGAATATCGAAGCGAGCGTTGATGGTTACGTCTGGCACACTGTTGTCGAACTCCATATTGCCTTATTTTTGTGTGTTCAGCAATATTTTTTTCAGTACCACAAGAGTATATAGAATAGGTATATAACCAAATCTTATCTATTAATATTATTAGAATATGAAAAGTAAATCTTTCATAGATTTGGGGGCTCTTAAAAGGGCCGTTTTTTTTAAAGAGCGTCTACACCATGTATTCTATTGGCTTGCCATACTTCTGATCTGGGCTCTCAAATGTAAAACCAAATCAGCTTTCATTTGGGCATATTGAAAATAGACATTACGAAGGCCTACCATTATTCTTATTCTTATACAATGGAATATCGAAGCGAGCGTTGATTGTTACGTCTGGCACGCTGTTGTCGAACTCCATATTGCCTTATTTTTGTGTGTTCAGCAATATTTTTTTCAGTACCACAAGAGTATATAGAATAGGTGTATAACCAAATCTTATCTATTAATATTATTAGAATATGAAAAGTAAATCTTTCATAGATTTGGGGGCCCTTAAAAGGGCCGTTTTTTTTTAAAGAGTGTCTACACCATGTATTCTATTGGCTTGCCATACTTCTGATCTGGGCTCTCAAATGTAAAACCAAATCAGCTTTCATTTGGGCATATTCAAAATAGACATTACGAAGGCCTACCATTATTCTTATTCTTATATCCATTAAATATCGAAGCGAGCATCGATGGTTACGTCTGGCACGCTGTTGTCAAACTCCATATTGCCTTATTTTTGTGTTCAGCAAGATTACTTGTTCGCATGTTCTTCTGAAATGACGTTCTGCAGAAAATAGCATCTCCTGGGCTCTAGACATCGAATCCATTGCTACTGTTTGCTGAATATCAGTGGAGTTGATTTATATACACTATTTGAAAGGTGTAGACACGTGATAATTAGTGACATCACATAAGGTTAGGGTTAAGGATTGGATATTCGCTAATTAAGCAAAAACCAAAGACATTTAAAATCCGAAGATACACAATTTCATCGAAATCTAAAATAAAAAAAAATACACATATATATATATATATATAATGCGTGATTGTCTGCGATATCACTTCGGTGGAAGCGGGCGTAAAAGACAACAAACTCACACACACACATTTTGTCTACACCCCGTTTCGACTACAAATTTTATTACACTCAAAATCCTGACCCCCAGCTAATCAGCAATGATATGTTTTGGCGATAAAGAGAAGCAATTAAGGGAATGATGATTGTAAAATAGTTATTCTTATAATGAAAGTATAAAATATCAATGCAGAGTACATTTTTGTTTTGACAAATACTTGTAATATTTGAAGAACATATTGAGTTTAACACCCGCTTATCTAAATAAGATTGTTTTTTTAACAATATTTATTCAGTCAATATTTACATAATCCAAAGATACAGTATTTCATTATGGCATTGCCAATCACTTCATAAGTTGTTTGCCCAACCGGGTCTATATTGTAAAGCGCTAGATTTTTTAAAGGAGACAAATTTTTATCGGAAATTTTAATTGTATATATCTGATTGTCCCATTCATGTTTTAAATATATATACATAAAGTTTATTTTTATTTTTATTTGATATTTACTGTGATATTTGTTTTTATTTATGTATATATAATATTGTGATTCTTTGTTTATAGTTTGTCTCGAGAAACCTCACTATGTTTGGCGCAATATAGCCCGGTTGGAGCTGACGTGCCATTAAACAACATTTCATTCATTATTTCATTATGGGATCTAAAAATAAGCCAGAGCTTATAAAAATCCATTTCCTATAATACATTTAACAGACATAGAAATACAATGTTTATAATTATAATCACGATTTACA